ATTGCATATAGTTTTTAAAAATCCAAGTATAAGTGGACCAGAGCAGTTCAAACCAACCCATGTTGTTCAACGGTCATCTGAGCCATATCCCACTGTCACTCCACCAGTCCCAGCCCCCACCACCACTGCATCCCTACCCTGCGCCTCAGTGAGGTCTTGCCCTGCTCATCAGCTGTCTCCTGCAAACTACAATAGCTCACGAGTCTCCCTCCTCAACCCCTCCCAGGCAAACATACAAGATAGTCCCGCTGTCCACAAGACAGGCTGTGGTCCATGAGCACGGCACACTGCAGTCCTCCCTGAGCTGCCCCGCCAGCCCTGGCCTCATCTCTACCACACCTAACGCACTCCCGACCCCTGCAAATGACTCCTGGGGCCTCAGCCAGGGCACAGGCAAGTTCCCCAATCACTCAAAGCCCAGCTCTCAGGTCACCTGACCTGGCTTTCTCCCCTAAACCCCCAGCTCACTAAGCAGAGCTCTCGGTACACACATTTATCACAGTGTATAACACTTGGGGTTATAATTACATGTTCCCAAGTCTGTCTTCTCCAAGGGTCTGGGAGTTCCTCAATGACACCGACTGTCTTACTCCTCTTTTGAACCCTCAGTGGACAAATAGGTGTTCAAATAATACTTGAACAAATAAATGCCCCTCATTCCAAGGGGCTACCCACAACAAGGCTAATGGCCATGCTGTCTCATGACTCAAGCCTATGCACCTGTATACGTGCGCGCGCGCACACACACACACACACACACACACACACACACACAGAAGCTGGAGGTGTTGGGGGCACCCATGCTGGTTGTGTGCTCAGCTGTGCAGCAGGCCCCTTTCCTAGGTTCACAGGAAAGAGAGAACCCAGATGGACAGTGGCCTGGCAGGGCTGGTCTGAAGCCCACACATCAGGGCAAACCTGGGGTGCTGAGGAAACACTAAGAGGTCTGACTTCCCCTGGAAAAACTAGTCAGACAGGAAACCTCTGGAGATCCGGACATGTGCTCTTGCCCCTCTCCCACTGGGAACGGTCAGCCAGTACAAAGAAAACCCGATGACACAGGCCTGAGCAGGTCGTGGGCCTAGCCTCCAGTGCAGGACTCATGGTCCATCTCCTCGCCAGTCTGACAGCCACAGGGGTTAAGCCCCAGACAGCTGTCCCAACATCATCTCCACTCTGAGCCTGTCTGCTTTGTCCAGTATGTTTGCTTTCTTCTGCCTCTCCCAACCCCTTGCCATCAAAGATACCACTGGGAATTGTCATTGTCTATTTTAGTTTCCCTGATGGCAAGAACCTGTTTTCATTCACTACGAGGAGGCCTAGCAGCTCAAGAATCAAAGACAAGAGCCTAGGACTCCAAAATCCCCACAGATGTGCTTGGCTGGCATGCAGAGCTCTCCATGGAGCCTCCCTATACCCTTCTAGCCCCATGACCCTTCACTGAACCATCTCGCACAGACGACACCAGAAGGGGAAAAGTGGGGCCAGAGCCTAGAGAGGCTGAGGCTGTCACGTCAAGTCCGAGCACAAAGGTCTCTCCTCGAAGGAGCAATACAGATCAGAGACAGGAGCCTGAGGTCCATTTACAGCACAACCCTAGGACCACTGCCGAGGCTGTCCCACACCAGCTCTGTCACCCACAGCATAATTCTCATTCCCTGCATTTCCATGTCCTTATCTGTAAAATGGAATGGTACTCCAGACCACCTGCTAGGGTCCTTGTGAGGAATAGCCAAGAAAACTTGACGAAAGGTCTCCATAGCACTCAGCAGGAAGTCTGTAACTGCTTTGTGTTCACTTATGTCAGTATCTGAAAAAAAAAAAAAAATCTAAACATCACCCTGGTTCCTGTCCTAACACCACGACAACCAGCACTAAAGCACTTCTCCACCCCTCTTGTGAGCCAAACTGCCACCACAGAGACCAGCAAGTGCCAGCCCTACTTCAGACAGTAAAGTAAGAGGACATAGCCAGACCAGAACAAGGTCTCATACTGAGTGCGGTGCACTTTCCCTGAACCACAGCATCTCTCCTTTAGGGCCAAGGACACCCTGAGGGGAACAAATGTCTCTCTCTCTTTGGCCCAGCTACAAGCACTGCATGGATCCTGGCAAGGCCAGCAGGAAAAGGCCAGACACCTGAAGCACCTGGGCAAGAAGCCAGGTGGCAGGGGACCCAGCTGGCAGCCCAACCTTCCTCAGAGTCTGCAAGAACAGGGCTTCAGGGATCAGAACCCACCAACGAGGTTCACCCATGAAAGGGCAGAAGTGGGCCAGCTTCAGTAGGGAGCTCTATTTATACGATCTGAACTCCACACAAGTGTCTACTATACTTTTTACCCAGGCTCCTTCAATCCGGGTCTCCAAAATCAAAGGGCCAGAGCCCCTTCTATGCCCTTTACCTATGTTCCAGGCCTCCCAAATCCCAGCTAATTAATGAGATCATTGAATATATACTGCTCTGGCTGACCCATCCTTGGGGGCTGGGGTTATCAGGTCCTCGGCATTCCTGCCTCCATCCCCCAAAGGCCTGAGACATCGTGGACTAGACTCTTCCTTGTCCACAGCCCTTCCTTCTGTTCAGGCACCAACTCACAAACAACAAAGCCGGGCATCAGATGTACAAATCTCCATAGACTCACTCTACACGCTGTTCTACATGGTAAGTGGGTGGGTGAGTAGAGGGGTTGGGGAAAAAAAAAACAAAAAACCCAAAACCAGAGAACATTTCCTCTCCTTTTCCGGGTAGTGATCTTAAAAAAAAAATTGTTTTTAATCCTCACCCAAGGATATGTTTTGTTATTTTTTAAACTGATTTTAGAGAGAGAAAGAGAGAGCAAGAGAGAAACATTGATTGGTTGCCTCTGGTACGTGCCCCAACTGGGGATCGAACCCATAACCTGGGTATGTACCCTGACTGGGAATGGAACCCGCCACCTTTTGGTGTACAGGATGAAGCTCCAACCAATCAAGCCACACCAGCTGGGGCTTGGGTAGTGACCTAAGTGAAATGTTAACTCGGTCCCCATCTTCTTGCCTCCTGCACCCTCATTGTCTCCTATAGCCACACTCCACCTCCAACATTCACAGTCCAGGGTCTAGGAGGGTAGTCATAATCTACTCTTGTTATTATTAATAACAGCTCACAGATATTAAACATTCATGTGTCAGACACTGTGCTAGATGTTTTACATCAATTTTTTTATTTAATCTCCACAGCAACCATAAGGTATATAGTGGATATATTATTACTCCATTTTACAGATGAGGAAATCTAAAACAAAGAGAAAATAAGTTACTGGCTGAAGGACACACAACTAAATACATGGGCTTTGAATTCAGCCTCACCTTTAACTAGTGCTGCCCTTACTGCCTGCTGGTCACATGAACGGTTTGAAATGCAGCCTGTCACCCAGGATATGTCTATCTGGGAACCTCCAGCTAGTGCCACAAATTCACAGGGAGTACCACAGAAGCAATGAAGAGGCTGTGCCCAGAGCCTGACACCTGGGTGATGCTCCCAGAACTATTTCAACTCTCTGCAATGTCTGCCCTTTCTCCACTTTGAAATCCCCCCGTCTCTCCAGTCACTAACATTTCACCCAATGGCTGACAGGGCCAATGGAGGCACACAGGAAGGCAGCTGCCATTTCTAAAGTGCAGCAGCTGTACCCTATCTGGAGTTTGTAGTTGAGGATGGCTGCCTCACCACAAGATCTTCCTGCCGCAATCTCCTCACCCATCTACAAGCACACACACCATGCCCTGGGAGGTCTGCAGGACCTTTCCCTGGGGGTGTCACTTCCTGACCACCCTCCTCCACATGGACCTAGTTCTGAGACTGGCTCTTTCTAACACTGGTCTCTAGGTTGAGGGGAGGAAGTTCTTGCAGGAAGCAACCCACAGCATGGGTTGCAGATACATCATCTCTCACACTCGGAGGCGGGGGAATGGAGGGCAGAACTAGGTGCCCATCCGGCCACAGAACAGGCATGCGCTAAGTGGAACAAAACTCTGATGGATCTGGGGTTTTTCAAAATCCCCCAACTCCCTCCTCCCACTGAGACCTGGGCAAAAGCAGCCGCTCGCAGGCCTGGGAGGGCAAAGCCGCAGGAAATCAAGAGTAGCTGTTCCTGGCTCCCTGCGGCCACAGGACGCAGGACACAAAGGGCCAGACCCCAAACTGGCTGCCTGCCCTTGGAGAGTACCTGACTGCGAGGCACTGAGGCTGGCCTTTCTGGGGCCAAGCTTTCAGAACGTGCTCCCAAGGGTCAGGGGAGCCTGGCTCTTTAGCGAGGGTCCCTGCCCTGGCTCTGGGTGTCTGCCCACCCATACAGCCCTCTAAAATTCGGTTTCAGGACAAAAGCAGCTGTGGGAAAAAGCAGCCACTGCCTTCTCTCAGGCTTTTCCAAACCAAACAGGACCACCTTCCTCCCCCTCCCAAGAGGGAGATGAGTAAGCTTGGCTCTGCTCCAAAACCGGTCCTACCCCAACATCTGCCTAAGTTCTACTTAGAGAACCCCGAGATTTTCTTTGCAAATAAAGAGCCCAGCCTTGGGGTCCAAAGAGTTTCACCAAGACTGCTCTTTTTGGAAAAAGGGTGGTGAGCGACGACCCTCTTGTCTGGCCCCAAGTTCAGGGGTTCGGTGGGGGCACTGTCTCGGCTCCTCTCACCTCTATGAACATCATCCCCGGCGTGTGGGGGACCCGATGCCTGCTCCCCTGGCCCCCAACCCGCTAGGATTGTTAGGCCTCTGGGCAAAGCGCCAGAACACTCCCCCGGCTGGGGGAGGGGGTGTCCTGTCAGGTGACTGAGGACCCGGATGCCCCCCACCCGGGGTGACCACCGGGGCCGAGGCGGGGGCGGGGCCCGCAGAGTGTGGGGAAGGCTGGAAAGTTTGCCCAAGTCGCTCAGGCGGCGGGCCGGGGCGCGGGGGAGCCGGGCACGGATTCCCGGGCCCCCTCCGCGCGCAGCGGGACCCTGGCAGGGGGCACACTTACTGGCCCCCTCGATCTTGTCGGCGCCGCGGCTCCACGTGATCTGCCGAGTCTCCAGCTTGACCTGGAAGGTCTTCCGCTCGGGCCGCTGCGACTTCTTGGAGTAGAACAAAGTCATGACGGTGCCCACCTCGAGGCTGCGGCAGAGGTGCAGCACCTCGGCGTCCGAGGGCGCGCCGGGCCCGCAGCCATTGGCGCAGGGGCACGCGGCGCCCGCCATGGCTTCAGCGCTGGGGGCGGCAGAGGCGGCGGCGGCGCAGGCTAGGCCGGCGAGGGGAGGCGGAGGCGGCGGCGGGGGCTGAAGCGGCTGGCGAGTGGGCCCCAGCGGCAGCTCCTGCGGGAGGAGGCGGGGCGGGGCCTAAGCGGAGGGCGGGGCGGCTCTGCAGGCCCCGCCCCGGCCCGCGCGCCGGGAACAAAGACGCCCGCGAGCCCGTGGGGAGGACCCCCGCCCACCGCCCGCCGCGCCTGCGCCCCGCGACCCCCGGCCAGGCCCCGGGCCGGGGTGCAGAGCGCAATGGCGGCGGAGCGAGCGCGCTGCTCCCGGTCAAGCCCCGGTTCCGCCGTCCCGCAAAGGTGCCTCACGCGGCCCCGCACACAGCTTGGCGGCCACGGCCGATCTCGTCACGCGCGGCAGCCGTGCGCCGGCCCGTCAGTCGCACAGGCGGCCGCCCAGCCCACTGTCCCGCACAGGCCCAGCCGCAGCCCTCTCCTCACCCCCACTCCCGGAGCGCCGCCCGCGCCGCTACCGGAAAGAGAGGTGAGGGCGCTGAGCGCCCCCAGGGCCCGCAAGCCAAACCTAGTGACCTGGGCGGGCTGCCCGGCGAAGGGAGCCAGGCCGGGCCGCCTCACCCCGGCGGCTGCGGGTCCTCTGCGCGCCCTCTCCGGGGAGCGGGCGGGGCGGGGCCGCCTGCGGATTGGCCGCCGGGTTCTGATGGACAGCAGGCCTGCCCCGCCCCTCCTCTCTGGCCGCACAGGGCTGGCCCGCAGGCCGCAGACCCACGCCCGTCCTACCCCCGGGGCCAGTGTGGCGTTCGAGGGCCCCGTCATTTGGAGAAGCACCCCCCGCCCCGAAGGCCTGAGCATCCAGGGCCTTTAGACCTGCGGCCCCCAGGGGCCTTCGCCTCTGGCCCTCGAATAAGCCACTGCCCGCCTCACCTCTCTCTCCGTGTCCACGCGGTACAACATGGTATAGGACCGACTGACGCCGCCCCTCCTGCACATGCTCCTCTGAGCTTTGGTTTTCCCGGCTTGACCCCCCTCGTTGTCCTCCTCCGTCTCTGGCCGCTGTCTTTCGACCTCGGAAGCTTCTCTTCCTCTGGGCCGGGTCCTGAGCCGGTTCCCCAGGCGACCTGACTTCGGTGGCTGCACGCCCCACACCCTGCCCCGGCCCAGCCACCCACAGGCCCAGGTCTTTATCTCCCCTGCATCCCACTGCCCGCTCCCCATCCCCACTCACCTCAGACATCTCACTCCCCCCCAACTGCCCCTTACAGTCTTCGCTTTCTTAGAACACGGCACCAAACGCTAGTGGGCTTGGGCCAAAACCCGGAGACGGCAGCCTTGATTCCTCTGTCACTGCCTCAACCCCACAGCGGTTCATCAAATCCAGTTCACACTGCCCTCATATCTCCACCCAGAAGCCCAAGGCCCATCTTTTCTCACCCATCTTGGCCTTTAAAGGGAAATTAAATCGTGATTTCCTACCTCCAGCCTCAAACCCTCCATGGTTTTCCATTGCACAAAAAATCCATACTCCCTACCTGGCCCAGCAGGTCCAGTATGGCTCCCCCGCCCTCCCCCCCCCCCCCCAATCTCTCACCACCTCCCTCTCACTCTCCATCTCCAGCCACAAGGCGTTTTGTGGTTCCAGGTGGGCCTCATTTTAGTGCACGTGGCTTTAGTGCTCTTCACAGGTGTTGTGTTGTGTTTTTTTTTTATAAACGAAAGGCAAGACCCTCCACCAGCAAAAAGATTACGACTTGTCTTATCACGCTATCTGCTTTATTATGGTGGTCTGGACCTGAACCTGCAATATCTCTGCGGTATGCCTATACATAAATAATTCTCACTCTTTGTCTTCCTGAAGCCTTTCTCTAGATTTGCCCCTGCAGTCTAGCTGCCCCTGTCACGGAGAACTGCTCAAACCAGACACCTGTGATCACAGTGGAGCTGGTCAGAGAGATTGAGCCAGGCAGAGCAGGACAACTTACCCCATCTCAGAGGTGAGAGGCCCAGTGGAACACCCAGCGGATGCCAGAGAAGGATCCAGGTTTCCTGGAATTTGTGAGTGTAACTGTGCTCAGGCAGCCCACCCAGCTGGGTGCTGACTGGTGTCTGAAGCTGCCTCTGACTGTCTTGCTGTAATAGTAACGTGTGTGTACGTGTGTTTTGATTCCCTCAAATGCAGTCCTTAAGAAGCTGGGTATTCAGTCTCCCGGAGCTAGGAGGCTTCAGCCGCCTGAGGGGAGGTGAAGTGGCTGAGAGGGACTGCCACCTAGTGACAGGCCTTTAAAGTGGGAGGGAGCTCCAGTTGACCTGATGCCGGCTCAGTGCTACAGTGCTTACATATGTGGTCACACTTGATCCTCATAATTACACTCTAATCAGGGATTACTGGCCCCAACTTACCGAGAGGAAACTGAGATTCACAGAAGTTCTGTAACTTGCCCCAAGGCCACATAACTAACAAGTGGGAATTTGAATCCAAGTCTGACTCCATGCATTTTCTGCTTCCAAGAGAGCCACTGGCTTAAGTGGGTCAATAGTCAGTGGGCATGGAGGCTAGCTGGCTAATCAGGATGGGTAAAGGGAGGCCTTGGGCGTGGCTGGACCAGGCACATGGAACTCAGAAAACATGAGGGCTCATAAAGTGTGGCTTGGGCTTAAAATGGTGCTGCCCTTGTCTGCAGCCCTTGGGCTTCCCTGTGTGGGCGTTGGTGGCATGAGTTGGGAAAATAAGAGAAATCCAGCACTAGTGCTCCAGTAATTCACAGGCGTTAAACAGATAAACACTGTTATGTAAGATGAATTGTGATGAGAGCTACAGAGAAAAAAAAGAACAGAGGGCTATGAGATAAACATTAGAGAGCCCTATTTCAGATAAGGAGGACCTCTCTAGGACTCAACAGAGGCCCAAAGGATGTGAGTAGATGGTCAGGTGAATTATGAGAGGTGCATTGGAGGAAAGTACTTTACAGAAGTAACAGTATGCACAAAGGCCCTGAGGCCAGAAAGAGCTTAGTGAATTTAGAAATTGAAAGAAGGCTAGTGTTTACTAAGTGTGAGGGAGCATTTGGTGTGATGAAGTAAGAAGGGCAGGTGGGGGCTGAAAGGGGACCCTCCTTGCCTACCTGATCGTGTCCATTTTTCTATGAGGCCCCCCACCCCAAGTTCTACAGCCCTCCTTGAGCTTCTTATTCTAAGTTGGGCAGCCTGTGGGCTGTGATGTACTTTTAAAATCGGTTTTTCTATTTTCTGAAGCTTCCCAACATGCAGCCCATGCGTCCTTGCTTTCACTTGTGTTTTTGCTTCAGGGGCCGGGCCCCCAGGGGCTCCAGAAATGCCTGCCAACAGGAGCTCATATTTTCAGTCTGCTGCCAGGCCCTGCTCCGGGAAACAGGGCCCCATTTCCTCCTGGGAATTCTGAGCCACATCCCAGGCCTCAGGTGCCTCCCTCCACCAAAGGAGGTTCAGGAAAATCAGGGCACGCAAAGGGTGTGGCTGGTATGGGCTTCCCCCAGCTCAGCATATATATGGGTACGTGGGTGTCACTCATAATGCGTGCAGCTGCACTGGCTGGGAGGGAGCAGCCTAGCACCCACACAAGGCACATGTTTGTGACATTACCCTGGCTAATCCTGCTTTGGTCTGTTTCTGCCAACACTCATGCTTCAACATGCCGTGGCCCACACCAATACCTGTGCCTGAAGTCTGGGGAGGTGTCTTAGCCAACACGACCCTCTGGCCCCATGGGCCTGACCTCACAGGTGTTCATTTACCAAACATTTAGGACAGTACTTAGCATACAGTAAGCCTAATGTAACTGCTTTACCCACATTGGCTCATTTACTTCTTATTACAGCACTGAGGGAAGTACTCTTATTATCCCCATTCTGCAGATGACAAACTGAGGCATGGAGAGACGAAGAGGCATGTTCATAGACACGTAGCTAAGAGGTGGCAGAGATGGGATTCAATCCCAGGCAGCCTGACTCGAGTCAATGCTATGTTACCTCCCATGTAGGTATGAACATTTTATTGTGTATCCTTATCCCTTTCCATAATACCCATACCTGATACGTTTTCTGTTTCTTGTTATTTGGTTAAATGTTGTCACAGGTTGGATTCTTTGGGAAGCAGACTCTACAGAGGTTAGTGTGCAGAATGTTTATTAGGGAGTGCCCTTGGTTAGGATCAGCACTGTAGGAGGAGGCTGTGATGCAGGCCAGTCCCCAGGGAGCTCCACCTCAGTCAGCCAGGATGTGGACTGTGCAGGTGACAGCACAGCCCCAGCCACATGGCTCTGCTGCTGAGGTGACCTTAGGGAGCTGACAGCACTCCCAGCAGTTGGGGCAACAGTTGCTTCCTTGTTGGGGAATCTGGATGGCACACATCACTATGCCCACCACAAATGTATTCTTTTCCAGTCCTTTCAAAAAAAGTGTAGGGTACTTAAAACAAAGGACAAAAATGTTGATGTATAGAAACAGGATTTACAGTTAGAAAAGGAGGAATACAATATGGTCAATATGTGTTAACATAGCTCCTGTCATTGAGAGTCAGATGTGGCAGAGCTTCCTGGTAGCCAAAGCAAAAACTCTTTCCATTCTGATAACTATAACATACGGGAGAAAAATTTTCCTGGGAATAAACTATAAAAGAAGTTTTTCATATAGACACTTATTTGATTGAAATAGTGGAGAATGTTCTCAACAAATTAACAGCAAATGCTGACAGTTTATTTGTTCCTGGTGATAACCTTGAGTAAATATAGAAGGTATAATATAAAAGTATAGCCCAATGAAGCCCCTTCCACAATCAAAGGTAGGCAAATTTATAGGTTGGCAGTGTCTAATTTGATCTTTACATAAAATTTTATCCCATTTCTTTATTTTTTTAAAGTAAATACATGTTTTTATTTATTTTTTTTATCCTCATCCGAGGACATTTTTTCATTTTTTGTTCAGATAGAGTGGGAAGGAGAGAGGAGAGAGAGAGAGAGAGAGAGAGAGAGAGAGAGAGAGAGAGAGAGAGAGAGAGAGAAACATCAGCGTGAAGGGACACATCAAGTGGCTGCCACTTGCACGACCCAACCAGGGCCAGGGACAA